TAAGCTCGTTAGATGGAGAAGTGCCATTAAGGAGCCCTTTATAGGTGTTAAACTTGTCCCTGATTCCAAATCTAGCACTGTTTAAGGTGACAAAACCATCAAGGGAATTTGAGAAGAGGAAGAAAATTCTGTAAGCCACATAATCATCAGAGAGATCTTCAAAACTTAGTGGTTTCAGCCATATTTTCTTTAAAATCTGAAGATCTCATGCCACAGTTAATATGCAAAATCTTTACCATAAGTTTAACTGCCCAGGGATTTTGTCAGCTGCATTCACAGGCCAAATGCTGCATTAATGTTCAAAACCATTTTTTCTGACCCTTTTTAATTTGAAGAATGTGCTTTTAAGAAAAGCATTTTCTCAATATTTCCCATGATTATGTTTGCTGTAATTATCACAAATATACACTCTGACACATAAGGCTGCAGGATAATCCTGTTGTAGGCAGCAGGGATGCTCTGCTTAGGAAGACTGCACTGACTCTTTAATTTAGAAAAGATTTGGAGGAATATAGAAGCTAAAATATCAATAAAGAAGTTAGAGGATATGAATTCGGATGCTAAGTCCAAGAAATATTTTCACTATATACTCAGAAGAAAACAGGAGGAACAATTTGCCGTGTGGAACACGGACCAGCACGTGTCACCAGTGCTCTTAGGGCTGCTAGTAGTGCTTTCATGCGGAAGCCTGCCTCTGCGCACAGTGAAGCATTGTTAACCATGCTGGTGGAGGGATGGCTTCCAGGAATATTCCTGGAACTTACTGTGACCAGCATTGTGACGTGAGGATAGAGGCCAGGTACCATGACCAAGTGTGGGTATGTTCTGCCATGCCTGGTCTTTGGGGTGGCAGGAAACCAGCCTGTGGACTGATCTTCCAACCATTAGGCTCAGGACATCGTAAGCACAGGAGTCACCTGTGATGCTTGTTCAAAACTATCACAATAGAAGACAATATTTGATCAATCATGTAACCCAGAGGAATCTTTCTAATTTGTTCTACTTCTTCTATGCAGAAAAATAATGCAAAATTGTCATATGAAGTCACAATCAAAGAGTTAGCAGCTAAAAAAAGATGAAGCAAGTATTATTGAAGTGGATTAAGCAGTTATTTTAGTAAACACAATATTTTTTTTCTGAATTTGGAAAGGTTCGTGCTATTTTGCAACTTTAAAATATTTTTCAGTTTTAAAACCCAAGTTTTACTAGAACTTCTTTTAAAAGTCTAAATCAATATTCAATTTGTATCTAATATCCCACTTGCATTTTTGATTGTGTTTGCAAAAGACGTCCTGGGTTGTATAAGTTACACTTTCCCCAAGCCTCAGTTGGTGATTGTGAATATGGTATCCGAGCTTACAGCAAGTCCCAGGTACTTGGTCTCTGTGCAAAGATCTGAAACGCACTCCCCAGGGGAGCATCTCTGGATTGCCTCTGCGGGTTCATGTGTCCTGTCAGCAGCGACACGGATCTCCCAACGCACCCTTAGGAAGTCTGGGTTGCACTGGGGCTCTGACAGGGCTCATGATTAAGGGACTCATCCAATATTTCCTTCTTGGCATGGTCCAAAGGGATTAACTCAATGTACTTTATCAAGAAGGAAATGTATCATGTTAACTCAAATATGGCTAAATAAAAGTTAATCTTTCTTGTTCTGAGAGAAAATAATTGTGGATAAAATACAGTAGAAAGGACGTAAGGATCTACATCCATGGAGAGTTGGCTTGTTTGAACTGGTTACTGATATGCTTTGGCTGATGTTTATCTTGATTGTTGTTTGAATTATATTTAACTACAGCAAGAAAGAAATGCGGTGTGCAATTCATCACTCAGCCGCTGTTTGCGACCACAACACAGTAGAGTCAAAGTTGCTTTGATTCCTAGTGAGTGATTTCTCTTTGGGGTTAGGCGAGGTCCTCCATGCCCCTAGCAGAGATACCAATCTTAATTGAATCCGCATGATGTGAAAACACAGACAACAGAAAGGGAGGAAGGGCGGTGATAGCGTCACTGGAGTGAGCTATAACCCAACAATTTCTGGAAAGGAGACTCCAGCAACAAATGCTGGTGTCATTGTAATGGAATCCAAGGTGACAGGAGTGCTCCTGTTTCGCAAAGAACAGGCTGTGGGAGGCACACCCCTACCCTACGATTCAAAGCTCTGTGTGCCGTGAGGGCCTCCAACACCAGCGAACCCCCAGTGCTCTTCTACAGCATGGGGCTGGGGCTGCTGCCTCCTTCTGACTTTTGTCTCCAAAGCCTTGCTCTGGGCTTCTTCCATTTCCTCTTTCCTGAACATCCCGACTTTAATCATTGAGTCACATCCACTTACCTATAAAAGTCTCCAATTTATCTTTCATAATGGTTGAGTAATAATCCATAAAAAAGCTACATCTTTTTTATCCATTCCTCAGTTGATGGGCATTTGCGTTGTTTCAAGATTTAGCTAATAGGGCTGGGAGATGGTTCAGTGGAATAAGTGCTTCCCTGGCAAGCGCAAGGGCCTGAGTTGAATCCCTAGTTCTGCAAGAAAACAAAACAAAACAAAACAAAACAAAACAAAATAAAACAAAACAAAACAAAACATCCCCCCAAAATCCAAAACAACAACAAAAAAGCCAAAAACCAAAAACCCAAACAAACAAACAAAAAAAATAAGATTTAGCTATTACGACTTGTGTTATTGTAAACATGGATGAACATCTATTGCTGTGGTTATGATGTTCTTAATTCTTCTGGGAAGATATCAAGAAGCGGCATAGCTGGGTTGAATGGGACCTCTAATCCTAGTTTTTAAGGAAATGCCACACAGATTCCCATAGTAGTTACACCAGTCTACACTCCCGCCAGCAGTAGAGAAGGCTTCCTTTTTCCCCACAGTCCCTCCAGCATTTGTTAGGGGCTGAATTTTTTTTTTTTTTTATGATAGCTGTTCTTTCTGGGGTGAGATAGAATCTCAGTATTATTTTAACTTCTTTTACCTGTTTCATAAGTCACTATCTGACGCATCACCCACACCCACACACGGGAATCTACCTTTCATCTGTCTGTCTTAGTGTAAGTGCGGCAAGAGCAGGGGTGCGTCCTGATTCACGTTTCTAGTCCCAGATCCTTGAGGAATGTTCCAGGCTAGTAGATTCACGGCTGAGCTTCTGTCTGTTTTCCTCTGAAAAGCCTTTCTGGACATTTTGTTTACTGCTTCGATTTAAATCAAGAGTAGTTCAACTGTATTTCAAGCATTTAGTGTCAAGGAAGAAAGATATCATATTGAAAATGGTGACTCATTTTTGATGCAAAAATGGATAGAACAGTCACAGTTAATATCCATATAACAAATGTGGGGCATCTAGAGAAATGTGCAGTGAATTCATTGAATCAGTCTTATACGGCATAGGAGCTTTTAGAAATGAAGATCTTAAAACTCAGGGAGTTGTTTTTATATTTTTTATTTGGTTTTGTCAAGCATTAGCAGCAGCTTGAACAGGTGATTTGACAAAAAGCATATGATCTAATGCAGATAGACCAGGAATGGCTGTGGTGACGCAAGAAGTGTGGTGACGCAAGAAGCCTGCCGCTGCAGGTTCTTTGGGACTCTGCAGCATTCTTTCCTCCTAGGTGAGGCGAAGGATCCTGACACAGAGAGGGTATTCAAACTTACTATCAGACACAATAGTTCAGAGAATTTCTCTATGGCTAGCTCTTACAATAAAGCTATGAAAAGGTGAATTTTTAAGATTTTCTAGATTTTTTAAAGGCTAGCTCTGAAGAAGTGGGCTCCTTGTCTCTGCGGCTTGCTTAAGAGAAAAGGAAACCGAGAAGCAGGATGGCAGGTCAGGGAGAGATGCTGCTTCTGAAGTCCTGCCAGTGTCTTCGGGTCCTAAGTACTCAGCAATGCTAAAGCACGGTGCATTGGGATATTATTTGCTTTTTTGTTTAAAATATTTAAAGCATTTAATTAAAAATTAAATTTTCATACATGCCTATAACATATTTTGGTCATAGTTGCCTCCACATGACCTTCCTTTATACTTGCCTTAAGTGCCATTTTCGAGCCCAACACTGTAATGGCAAAATCCCAATTTTACATCTATGATGTTCTCGAAAGTTTATTCTGTTTAAACTGAGTATTTGGTTCAGATGACCTAGCTGAGCGGGAGTAGCCAGCTGAAAATGATAAACCTGAGACTGTAATGGTGAGTGAAATGAATCAGAAATACAAACTTAAATATCGTATAGTTTCTTTCATATGAGAAACCCAAAACATACGTAAAGAACAAAATACGTGACAGATACTAGGAAAAAGGGATGTATAGGGAAGGACACCGAGAGATGGGGCGCGAGAAAGCGGCTGAAGAAATAATCGAGATGTGTCATGTGACGCTGCACTACACATGAGGCGTGCAATCCTTATGTATGCTAATCAGTGCAATCATTAACAGGCACTAATTAAAAATTTGAACCAAGTTTTTTTTTTTTTTTTTTTTTAGCAATGGACTCTCAGTTATCTTGGTCATCACATTTGCAAAAATAGCCTTGTCTATAAAAATGAAAATTAGGTACTATATAGATTAACATAAGTTGATGATGTCAACGCGCTTGTGTCGCGTACCTTCTTACTGGCTCAGCTGTGCGTCATGGGCAGCAAGAACAAAGCGAAGCTGTTCATCAAGGAAGCAGTGAATTTACTAACCGAGTCCGTTCTCCACTCATGATCTGCTCAGCTTTGGTTGGGTAGAGGACGGAGCCAGAGGCAAGAGGGGAAGGGCAGATATTCAGCCTACCCTCCACCAGAAGTTGTCTTATCAGCACTGAGGATGTGTTTGATTCCCAGCGCACCCCTCCATAAAAACAGAAAGAAAAAGACTTTTGTATCTATGACCAGTTTTCTGTGTAGGATCTAGATTTATGTTCTTTGTTCTTGAACTTTGGGTTTAACTTAAATGATACAAGTTTCACTTAAAATAATAAAATTTTTCTATGCTATCTTCTGACATAGAATCATTTCACACCTGTCAGTGTTTTCTGCTCATTTGGCCAACAACAGGACTGGTAATCGCATCTTAGTTACGCAGCTACATCTTCCCCTCCAGGTGAGCCTTCCTATGAGTGGCTCCCGGCCCCTGTGGTTTTCATCTGCTGTCTCCCCACTGCTGCACAGCTGAGTTAGTGTTTCATCTTCTTGTTTTTCTTAAAAGCCCCAAGTTCCTATGGTTTAGAAAGAGGAGAAACACTTCTCAGTGTGAATAAAATAAAGAAAAAATATTTTTAACTTCTCTCATGTAATTTTTCCAGAGTTTACTTTGGCAAATCCTCTGAAGTCCCCAAAACCTGCTGAGTGCAATCGAGCACATCTCTGTGGAACATGATGACTATTCTCTCAGATCAGTTAAAGTTTATTTATTTTAGGTCAGTCCTTTCGTATTGCTACTGAAAAACCATTGAAGAATGAGTGAAGCTACCTCATTTTTTCTTTGCCTTTATGGTCCAACATTATATGATTCTTGGGAGAGAAAGCAAATCCCACAAAGAATAAATGAGAAAACAATAAGTGACCATATATCATTAAAGAAGCAGTGACCAAAGGCAGATATGACACAAGGGAAACATCACTGTGGCTTCATAACACCTTAAGGGTCTATTGATATGAAAAATGTTAGCTTTGTCTTGTCATATCACTAGGAATCCCTGCTGAAAACTCACTTATTCTTCCAACTTGTTTTTTCTCCTCAGTGTTCCCAGTCAAGAACTGTGAGAAAGGGAGGAATTTTCTCTCCCCTGAGGTGAACGGAAGCCACCAGCCTTCACTGTCTCACACTGAAGAGCCCACAATGAAATGATGGTGCAGTCGGCCTAGTAACAATGGCTGGCATTGAAATTTCATCCCCATTTTGCATACTTGATCCACTACGGGACGATCTGGATGGAACTATTTTTAACTAAAACGTTAGCATTTCTGGTTCTCTTCACTCTCAGAAACTGCCTTTGGAAATTTTATAAGCCCTATAGAGTTTGAGTCAGAAAATCTAAAAAAACCAAGCCCAATCCTTTATGTTTTTAAACCCGGCCTACCAGAGTAAGTCAAGGAAAATTCATGCCTTAGGATTCCAGGGAGGTCAGAAAAAGACATACTGAATTGCTGCTAAGGCTCTTCCCGCTAGGAGGGAGGTAGTAAGAAAGCAACACACCGAGCTTCATGCTCCAGAGGCTGTACGGAGGAGAAAGTGGCCACAAAAGGCATGAATTTACAAAAGTAGAGGAGAGAATATTGGCATTACGGAGTCTGTGCAACTGCGATTGAATATTTCTCTAACAAAATGACATTTTTTGTCCTACAACTCAGTGCACGCAAATGAATTATGAAGACATTGGAGGGTCCAAAAATGGTAGAAAAAGAAAAAATATCACAGTGAGGGAGGACTTAAGAAGAAAGGCTGAGGTAAACTATTTTAGAAGGAGGGAGGCAAGCTTTTCTACGGGTCGCTGGCTCTGAGAGGAACAGGAGACCAGAGACTGACACGGAGCAGTGTGCTGGGCCAAGCCTTGGTCTCCGAAGCAGAAATGGAGACTGAGAATCCTGTTGAAAGTCTTGCTCCTCTAGTACCAGGTGAGAAGCAGGAACTTCCAACATGTGCCCTGTGTGCTGGCCTGAGGCTCTGAGGAGTCTCGCCAACTGTGGGTGGCCCAGAGCGTCTCACTTTAGAGTGGGAAGGAAGGACGTCTGATGGTGGCAGAGACTGCCACTTCTTAAAACTGGATGGGCCGCAGCTGGATTTCTACCTTACGGGAGGTCTTGCCCTTGAAAGGAAGCAACGCTGATAAGGTAAGGTTAGTCTCGTGATCACTGGTGAGATGCAGCTGTCTGAGGAGTGAACTTGGACCTCGTATCTCTCTGCTTCTGCCTTTCCACGTGAGCGCGCTCCACTTCCGTGTGCAGACGTTTTATCTTCTGCTACTCCACCTTGCTGTGATGTAACCATGTGAGGTCCTTACAGGAACCAAGCAGAGGGGGCTGCCCGATGCAGGTTTCAGCCCACAAAGCTATGATGTACGTGACTCTTTTAAAAATGTGTTATCCAGTAATTTTGTTACAGAAGAAGGAAAAAGAAGCCTACGACCAGAGGGAAGCTTTCCAGACAAAGCCTCAAGACCTTGTACTATTTGTGAGATTTTCAGGGATTCTGGTTATATTCTTCTAAAGAGAAGGGGCAAGGGATGTTTAATTTTCAAACCTGGAGGGGGAGTAAGTAAATTTAACAGAAAGGAAAAAAGGGGAAGGCAGAAAAAAAACCTTAGGAAGAGTATGTGGTGAAAAGTTTAGAGCACTACAGAACACTTACTCAAGTTAACACGAATTAAAACAGTCTTGAAGGAATGCTGCCTTGGCTTACAATTCTGGAAGAATTTAAACTTTCCTGGTAACATAGCAAATTCACATGAGGAAGGGGAAAAGCCCGTTATCTATGTTACTGGCACGGAAGTGAACCAAGGCTGGAGCAATGCAAGTTCCGAAATGATACCTGTAGGATTCCACTTTTGAAGCCAAGTGTCCCTTAAACCAAAGCCTGAGCTCTGCCAAGAGGCCACCGGTATTTATTTGTCAGGAAAGAGTTCACTTGTATTGGGAATCAATTTTCCTCTAGTTATTCTCTTAATTTAGGCCAAAGTAATTAAGGACTTACAAATTTGACTGCGATCCGTTAGGCTTCCTAATTTACCGAATGCAGGGCTGTCCATGCATTATTAGGTATTCTTGCACAAGGTAGGTGCTGGAATAAAAATGAAACACTAGTCGGAATGCCATGAAGTAGGAATGAAGAATGAATGGAGATAAGGAAAAAAATGCCTGAAAGTACCATTGATATTCTTCTGTGTAGACAAGAGAGGTGCTCAAGGGATGGGCCAGGAGGACAGGGTGAGTGCCAGCCCTGCTCGCTCCAGACATGAGTCAGAGCCATGGGCCTGCACTGTAACCGAGGGCAGAGGGCCACAGGGTCCTTTCTGGGAATCCAGCGCACCTCATGGGGATGTTTCTGCACCTTTGCTGTCGTGAAGCTTCAAGGTATCTGGAAATGAATTTGCAGGGACTGCTCCAGTTGCAGGAAAAATTCTGTGTCTCAGAAACAGTCAAAGGTGAGGGCAGGAGATTTTCTTTGTCTTTAAATCAGAAAGCAAGGGCTGGTGATATAGCTCAGTGGACTAAGCATTTGCCTAGATAAGCTCATGGGCAAAAGTTCAATCTCTGGCACCACAGGCTGCACCAGCCCCACCCCTGGGCATGCTGAGTGGGCGATGGAGTCCGGGCATGCCTGTAATCCCAGCACTATGGAAGCACAAATCAGGAGGATCACTAGGAGTCCAAGCTGTGTAGTGAGACCCTGCACACACACACACACACACACACACACACACACACAGAAAATCAGAAAGCAGGTTCGACATTGCCAGTCCTACTGAGAAGCCACTACTATTATGGATTACTGGATTATACTGGAATATTTTGCTGAATTCACACACCTACATTATTTAAATGACAAAACTAAACAAAAAAGGGGACACAAATGAAAGACCATTTTGTATCTGTATATTCAAAATAGTTAGGATAGATATACAGCTACTTTCTCTTAATTCAATGAGAACAAAGATTTGTACCAGTAGTGTTTGTGGACAGGATATCATGTCTGCATCTTGTACTATGAATAACCACTACAACAACAATATGCAATGTATTAATTATTGAAAATATCCTAATAATAGGTTTTGATACTACCTCATTGCTATTTGTTTCTCAATAAAATTATTAAAAACAAAAAAAAGCAGGTTCACAGAAGATGAACTCTCATTTACTCTGTCCAAAGCCTATACTGAGCACTGTGGGCACGTTGACTTACTGTGTCCTATGACATCCCTATGAGTTTACATTACACACATTGTGTATATGACAGAATTTAGGAGGTTTGGAGATACTTTTCACCTTGTTTACACCTTCTGGTTGACCAGCAGAAATAAACCCACCTGGAATTGGCATCTGGATCTATTTTTGGTGCTGGTGACCAGTGCTGTACTGCTATCTGCATAACTGAGTGTCAGCTAAGAGAGCACAGGGAGCTGGGAATGTAGGCCCTTGTGCTTAGAGCTTGGCTTTGTCTTCTCTGCAGAAATATCCTCTGAATTTATCTCATTATACTTGTCCTCCAAGTCCAGCCCCTTCCTGTGCTGTAGACTCACCATCTTACAAAGAAGTTAAATACTTTGACCAAGTCATCACAGATGCTTACATGTGGAGGTAGGACTCAAGCCTAGGTGCCACTGCTGTTAATACCTGAGCTTTTTTTGTGGCGCTGGAGATTTTATTAAGGTCCTTTGGCTTGAGTTACCTCCTTAGGTCCATTTAAATTTGTTTTTTGTTTTAATTTTCAGACAGTTCTCATTAAGTTCCTAAGTTGCCCAAGTGGGGTCAAACTTGGGACACACCTTCCTAAGCCTCCAGAGTGCCAGCCTACAGGTGTGCATACCCACAGCTGGCATCTGCGCTCTTTCACAGTGTTCTGAGATACTCCCAGGTGTTAGCGTCACATTTTTTATTGTACTGGGATCCAAAAATATATCAATAGACTGTAATCTTTTTCAAATTTATTATTATTTTTTATGTATTTAAAACAGTGTGTCACTACTCAGCTTGGACTCATAGTGATTCTCCTGTTTTCAGCCTCCCCAGCCCTGGGATTACAGGTGTGCACCACCATGCCTGGTCTCAGTGGCCAGCTCAGCGTGCCCAGGTGTGGGGCTGGCGCGGTTTGTAGTGTCAGGGATCAAATCCAAGTACCTGCACTTGCCTAAGCAGGTGCTTAGTCTGCTGAGCTATCTCACTGGCCACTTTTCTTCTTTTTTAAATGGGATTTCACTATGGAGTTCAGGCTGGCCTTCAACACACAGCAATCCTCCTGCCTCAGTCTCCTGAGGGCTGGGATTCTAACAATATATCAAAAATCTAGTAGTAATCCATTGGTATAGATCAAGTGACGAAGAGAAGGAAAGATAAAAAAATGGATTTAAGAGGCCGGCCAGATAACTCAGCTGACTAAAGTGCATGCTTAGGCAGAGCGCAGCAGCCAGGGATTCGATACCCAGCCTGCTGTGCCGGCCCCGCCCCTGGAGAGCACTTGGAAGGTGACTGAGACTGGTGGAGCCCCCGTGGTGGAGAGCTTGCGAGGCTGCAGACAGCAGGATCACTAGGAGTCCAATCTGTGTAGTGAGACCCTGTAGACACTGTTTTTTTTTTTTTTCTTAGCTGAATAATTTTAAAAAAGAAAAAGAAATAGATTTGAGTTTGAAAAACTTCACCAAGCAATGAAAGATAGGCATGGAAAGAGAAATAGAGGGGCAAGTGGCAGGATTGCGACCTTGTCTTACTCCCAGTGAAGTACATGTCACCGTGGGCCCTCGTGCACGCTGAGCACAGCAGGTTCCACTTCAGGAGTTGAATTCACCACCAGAAGCGCCGACTGCACTCACTAGGGTCCGCGTCCTCCACCTGGTTTTGCCTGATATCGCCACCTCTGTGCCTGGCCTGTGCCACAGTGTGTCCCCAGAATTTTCCATTTTTCCTCCCTGCCTCTGCCAGTCACTGACTTCCTTTATATGTGTATTCTCCAAATGAGAAGTCTCATCCTGAGGACTTCTGCAGTTTCCCTGCTTCCCGCAGCATCACTTCCTAAACTCAACTGCTTTTCTGAACACTGTAATCCTTCCACCATTCATTCCCCACTATCTCTTGTATCACTTTTTGTCTATTTTAGTTTATTTAACTTTTGTGTTTTTTAAATTGATATGTTTGTGATAAATGGCAATTATATTTATTTTGGGCTATATATGTATATATATTCCAAATCCTGTGTATAGCTGTATATATATGAAATTTTTGCTTCTGTATATATATTTTTATTTTATATAATAACATTTTCAATATCCTTCCCCCCTTTTTCCCTGTCCCTTGTTCACTTTATCCCCTTGTCCATCTGCAATAAGTTTATCACCCTGTCCCCTCCCATTTCTATTTTAACCTTTATTAATATTTCTTGGGTTTCTTATGTGAGAGAAACTATGTATTAAACTGTGTCCTATTTGCTTCACTTTACATGATGGTTTCAAGAAGTGTCTATTTCCCTACAAATGACTTGAACTTATCTCCCCTTTTGACTGAATAATACTCCATTCTGAAAATACCTGAAGAAGTCTCAGTGGTTGTACCAATTTCTTGCAGAACAGAGAGCCTAATTCCTGGTTGACGCAAACCTCTGTTTCCTACTACTCTATCCCACACCCTTTTCTTCAAGGAAGCACCTCGTACAAGGGGTTCTTTAGAGCCCTAGGAAGTGTACCGATCGCTGTTCTGCACCCGACCTCGGATGCTAGCTGCTCCAAGAGGGGCTAAGCAGGTGTGCTGAGGTCACACAGAACAACTCCGTTCTGCATAGTGAGATTCCACATAGTTCGTTTAAACTAGTTTTCACGAGCTTTGAAAGCTTGAAAGCCACGCTTTTCTGAAACACACAGACCAACAGACAAAAGCACCGGTCTGCTGCTGGTCTTCGTAGCCCCTCAAGCCTTCCGCCACCGGGGTGCTGGTGTCTGCATTTGCAGCACAGGCCCAGCACGTGGAGTGTTGGTCCTCGGGGAAGAAGTCGCCACTGCCGGGCTGTGCGCATGCGGACATTCACCAGGGACAGCAGGGAAAGGGCTGACGCCCTTGCGTCTGACCCCAGTTACCTTTCTGGCTTTATTTTTCACAACTCTCTTCATGAAAATGTTTAGCCAAATAGAACTCCCTTCTCCTCCTACACATCTCTTCATCTCTCTTAATATACCTGCTAGTTCTGTGCCTTGTTTTGCAGTACCGGGCCTTTCTCCACACATACCAAAGCACACCTAGTGTTGGCCCCACTTATATCCCACTCCTAACCTCCAAGACCCTAAAGTAACAGCAGAGTGCGATTTTTCCTTCGGTCGTTTTTATTTCTCCCTCTGTTGCTTCGTTGACTTATCACTTCCCACATGGACTTGCATGCTTAATTTATTGATGATCAAGGATCAAAC